AGACAACGACGAGTAGGCAGCTGCGCCAGCAAGTCAACAAACAGCTCCAGCATGCGCTCCAGCAGCAGCACCAAAGACAGCGGAACCTCATCACGCCCGTAAGAGCCGCACTCATCCTCTGAAACAAACGGAAACACACACACACGCATGCACTTGCTGCTGCTGCTGCTGCTGCTGCTGCTGCTGTTCTCGTGGTGTTGCTGCTGCTGCTGATGCTGCTGCTGGGGGTGTGGTGGTTCCGCTTAAGACGCCCAGAGCCTGAAGGGGCATATGCACGTTGGATTCTACCCTTGCTGCAGCAGCAGCAGCAGCAGCAGCAGCAACAGCAGCAGCAGGCTATGTTGATGCTGCTGGTACTGTTGCAGCATCACCAGCAGCAGCAGCAGCAGCAACAGCAGCAGCAGCAGCAGCAGCAGCAGCAGGAGTTTACCTGCAAGTACAACGAATTTGCGTATAAGGACGAACATGAAGTCTCTGTCGAGCATTATTTGCTGCAGGTGCTCCCGCTGCTCTGGCTGCACTGCAGCAGCAACAGCAGCAGCAGCAGCAGCAGCAGCAGCAGCAGCATGAGGATCATCTTTATTAGCACTACCGGCTGCCGCCGCAGCAGCAGCAGCAGCAGCAGGATTTGCTGCTGCTTGCTGCAACGGGAGCAGCCGCTTCTGCGCGCGTTTCCACAGCAGCGCAGCAGCAGCACTCCGCTGCAGCAGCAGCAGCAGCGCGGATTGCGGCAGCCGCGCGAAGCAGCAGGGGCCACAAACAGCAAGACACAGCCGCCGCAGCAGGCCGTTCTCGAGCCCCTGAAAGGCTCTAACAAAAAACGTCAGCAGCAGCTGCTGCTCTTCTGCTGCCAGCAGCACCACGCAGTCGCCCAGTGGTGGGTCCTCACAACCATCGCTTACATATACCTTCTTGCTGCTGCTGCTGCTGCTGCTGCTGCTGCTGTTGCTGTTGCTGTTGCTGCTGTTGCTGTTGCTGTTGCTGTTGGACACGAGAGCACTCTCCACGTTTTCCGTGTCGCCCTCTCCCTCCTCCTCTTGCTGCTGCTGCTGCTGTTGCTGCTGCTGCTGCTGCTGCTGCTGCTGCTGCTGCTTGTCTGGGAGCTTTGCGGTGGCTAGGAGCATCGCCAGCCTGTAGAAGAGGACCTTCACCTTAGCATCAAGAAACTCAGTAGGCAGATCATCGTCCTGCTGCTCTTGCTGCTGCTGCTGCTGCTGCTGCTGCTGCTGCTGCTGCTGCTGTTGCTGCGTGGGGTGTGTTGGGCTCTCAAGCTGCAGCAGCTTTCGCAGCTGCCGTGGCTGCCGCTGCAGCGGCAGCAGCATTTCTCCTCCTCTTGCTCCTGAGCTGAGCAGCAGCGCGCAGATACTAAGAAGATGTGCAGGCTGTGTAGTTCCTGCTGCTGCTGCTGCTGCTGTGTCTTCCTTTGCTGCTGCTGCAGCAGCAGCAGCAGCAGGTCTGCTGCTGAACGAGGGCCACAGCAACGTCTCTAGGTAGTGTGTATATTCTAGGGCCTGCAGCGCCCCCCCCCCGAAGCTGCTTCTCCTGAGCTGTCTGTACACATCAGCTATCAGTGCTGCTGTTTTGCTTCTGCTGCTGCTGCTGCTGCTGCTGCTGCTGCTGCTGCTGCTGGTGCTGGTGCTGGTGCCTTGGGAGCGTCTCGCCTCCTCTCTAGAGTCCCAGGCCCGTTTTGCTGCTGCTGCTGCATCTGCAGCAGCAGCAGCAGCAGCAGCGCGCTTCTCAGCTGCTGCCACGACCTGCTGCTGCCGCTGCAGCTCCTTCTGCTGCTGCTGCTGCTTCGGTTTCTCTTTGAGAGCCTCAAGCACTCTTTGGGCATCTCTGGCTTTTGTCTTTGCTGCTGCTGCTGCTTTTTGTTTGTCTGCTGCAGCAGCAGCAAAGTAAGGACCTGCGTCTACATGGATGATCTGCTGCTGCTGCTGCTGCTGCTGCTGCAGCCAGGTGCGCCGCGCAAGCTTAACAAGCCGGTGGTTCTGCAGCTCAGAGAAAGTGAGAGAAGCAGAAGCAGCAGCAGCAGCAGCAGCAGGCTTGCGGCCACCGGGGCCTTGCCTGGTGGGGGGAATATCCCCATTCAGCTGCTGCTGCTGCTGCTGCTGCTGCTGCTGCTGCTGATGCTGCTGCTGATACTGTCTCTGCTGTCGCTGCTGATGGTGATGGTGGTGGTGAGTGCTGCTGCTGCTGTAGGGGGGAGGAGGGGGGGGGACGGCAGACATGATGCCTCAGGTGAAGCCGCAGCAGCAGCCGCAGCAGCAGCAGCAGCAGCAGCAGCAGCAGCAGACAGGGAGAAGGAGGGAGAGAGAATGAGAAGGTTTATTGTTTCTGTTTATTTTGCCATTTAATCTTTATTTGTTTTATCACTCAAAGAAAACAACAAAAACGAAGAAAACAACAAACAGCAGCAGCAACGGTTGCGGCGGGGGCAGCAG